TAAAATCGCACAAATGTCACTCATTGTAAGTTTACTGTTTTGCAATTAATTAACTTTTAATGCTGAAATTGAAAGCCCCTGCATAGTAAAGTCTAGTCGACCAATGAAAATCTTGGTCGACCTCGACGGCATCGACCAATTAGTCGACTAAACGACCAAAGTTCCCAGCCCTACTGATTTGATGTGGCTATTAAAATTTAAGTCTGTGTCCAGTATTACCCCTAGATTTCTGACCTTGTTTGAAGGTTTTAGGGAGAGAGACAGGTGACAGATGACGCTCTCTCTTTGTTTCTGGGGACCAAAGACAATCATTTCAGTTTTGTCTGCGTTTAGCTGAAGGATTTTTGCATCCACTCACTGATCTGTTGGATACAGTGAAGGAGTGAGTCCACTGGTCCATGTTCTCCTGCAGTCAGTGAGACATACATCTGAGTGTCGTCTGCATAGTTATGATAGGACACTTCGTTTCTGCGTATTAACTGACCTAACGGCAGCATGTAGAGATTGAACAGAAGAGGTCCCAGGATCGACCCCTGTGGTACTCCACAGGTCAGGGCCATATGATCTGAGACACAGTTTCCAATCTCCACAAAGTACTTCCTGTCTTCAAGGTAAGACCTAAACCAACTTAGGGCGGTGCCAGCGACGCCAACCCAGTCCTCTAGTCTCTGTAAGAGGATCTCATGGTCGACAGTGTCAAAGGCAGCACTCAGATCTAACAGGATTAAGATTGAGACTTGGCCTGCGTCAGTGTTCAGCCGGATATCGTTTGTAACCTTAACGAGAGCAGTCTCAGTGCTGTAGTGGGGTCTAAAGCCGGACTGAAACATATCAAATGAGTTGTTGATTATAAGAAATCTAGTAAGCTGTAGGTAGACAACTTTTTCAAGGACTTTCCCCATAAATGGCAGATTTGAAATGGGACGACAGTTGTTAAGTACCGTAGCATCGAGACTGCTCTTTTTTAGCAGGGGCCTGATGACTGCCGTTTTCAGGGCCTTTGGGAATATTCCAAAATGAAGGGACATGTTTACTATCTGTGTGAGTGAAGGTAACAGACTGCTCAGAACAGACTTCAGAAATCTAGTGGGTCTTGTCATTGAAAAAGTGTGCAAAGTCATTGCATTTACGTTTGGAAGTAAGCTCTAATGGCATTTGAACAGGGGGGTTTGTTAATCTATTAACTGTTGAGAACAGAACACGCAGATTGTTGCTGCAGCCTTCAATCATTTCAGAAAAATACCTTTCTCTCGTACTACGTAGCACCCGGTTAAACTCGCACAACTTATCTTTGAAGATCTCGTAATCAACCTGGAGGTTGGACTTGCTCCACTTCCGCTCGGCCCTCCGGCACTTTCTCTTTTGTGCCCTGACCGAGTCTGCTTTAGCCCACGGCGCCTTCTGCTCATTTTTCACTATTTTAACCTTCACAGGGGCAACGGTATCCAGAACATTCAAAACACTAGAGGTGACAGAGTTAAACAGTTCATCTACAGTAGAATACGATGTATTCTCAAAGATTATCATTCCCATAAATAGTTCACTCGTATTTTCATTTATGTGTCTTCTTTGTACAGTTGCAGAGTCCTCTGGTGGTTTGTTAGTGAAACACATGTCAAAAAAAACACAGAAATGATCCGAAAGAGCAACATCGACCACGTTTACATTTGAAATATTCACCCCCTTAGTAACTAACAGGTCTAGAGTGTGCCCTCTGCTGTGGGTGGGGCCACTTACGTGCTGAGTGAGATCAAAGGATTCAAGTACAGAACTCAGCTCATTTGCATTTCTGTCATCAACATTATCCACATGAATATTAAAATCACCTGTAATAACCAAACTATCAAAATCTGTGCATACAACTGAAAGCAACTCGGTAAAATTATCAATAAAACTGTGACATGACTGCGGTGGCTTGTATAGGACAATGAAGAGTATTGGAGGAGATTGTTTTTGTTGTATTTTAAAAGACACATATTCAAATGACGAAAACTTCCCAAGAGACATTCAATGGGAGACAAAGTGGTCTCTAAAAATGGCAGCTAAGCCTCCTCCTTTTTTGTTTTCCCGTATTTCAGATTCAAACTTGACATTTGGTGGTGATGCTTCTATTAAAACTGCATTTTCTGTATTTTGGTCAAGCCAAGTTTCAGCCATGAACATAAGATCAAGATTATGAGAACAAATACAATTATTGATTAAAAAAAGACTTGTTACAAAGAGATCTGACATTTAGCATAGCAAGTTTCAAAGTTTCAGTATCAGCGGTTGTGGTCGGCTAATTCTTACACGGACCAAGAATTAGATTTTCCAGATTAGACTGATTAACTCCAGATGTTTTTCTGTAATGTATTCTTTGTGTTATCACTAAGGGAATGGCACAGGTGGCTTCATGACAGGGCCCCAGCCGGGTCTCTCCTCTAACTAGACTGCCAGTGGCTGCGAAGCAGAGACCCTGTGCATCCTAGTGTTTAGAGAAAAGAGGGGAAGGGGAAGGCGGGGGAGGAGGATGGAGAGGTGGGTGGCTTTTGGGTGTTGAACGAGGGGGGCAGGGAGGTGGAGGGGTTTTTGGTGATGGGTTAGGGCCGGGGTGGGCTGAGGCAGAGGTTTTGGGTGTTGAACGAGGGGGAAGTGGGGGTGGAATGGTCATGAGGTTAGGGGAGGGACTGGCTGAGGTGGTTTTTGTAGGTGAATTGGAAACCCTAGGTGGTTTTGGAGGTACATGTGGGGAGTGGTTTAGCATGTTGGACAGGACTCTAGATCTAGCTAATATGGGTGTGAGAGGAATAGTCTTCATCGCCGATGTTATTAGCCCTGCAGAGTGTTCAGGTAGGTCTAACAGTGAAGGCGGGGATGAAAAACAAAGGGACGTGTCCCCATTCTCTCTTGATGGAGTGGACGTGGCAGCGGGGACCCAAGACAGGTCCATGGGAGGTGGCGAGGGAGTCTTTGATGGAGGGGCAGGTGGTTGAGGAAACCCCAGCACAGGCCTGTCTGCTGTAGGCTGGGGTGAGGATGGGGGCTTCAGAGGCGCTGTAGATGAAGAAAGCGTGGCTGCTTTGGAGCAGGCTAGGGATGAGGATGTTGGTGGTGGTGGTCGTGCTGCTGGTGCTGCTACTGGTGATGATACAGCTGCTGCTGGTGATGATGCAGCTGCTTCTGATGACAGTGGAGGTGTTGAGATCCTTTGAGGCGGTGATGGTGTTGAGATCCTTCGAGGTGGTGGTGGTGTTGAGATCCTTCGAGGTGGTGGAGGTGTTGAGATCCTTCGAGGTGGTGGAGGTGCAGAGACTTTTAGAGTCGGCTCCCTCCCTTTCGATGGCTGCACGTGCTGCGCAGGCTGAGGTCTCAGGGCAAAAGAAAGGTTATCCATCAACACTTTTACTCCGTAAGTGTTCAGATGTGGCCCTTTCCCTTCAAAAAGCTCATGCCTATTCCAGAACAGATTAAAATTCTCAATGAAGGCAAGTCCTCTGCGTGAACATTTGTTGAGTAGGAAAGTATTTAGCTGATACAGACGACTGAATTTCATTTGCTTCCCGTCCACATTTGGTAGTGGGCCACTGATAACGATTGTTGCGTCCATTTTAGCAAGGTCGTCCAATAAGAGAGAATAATCCCGTTTCAACTTTTCACTTGTGTTGTCATAGACGTCTACTGCCCCCACGTGGATCAACAATCTTTTTACCCCGCCGGTCTCAGACAGAAGCCTCGGAGCCAACCGCCTTATCTCATCCACTTTGGCAGAGTGTACTGAGTGAACCTTGAGATTACACATGTTTACATGTCTTATCGCAGAATCCCCGATAAAGAGCGACTCAGCTGCATTTGACCTTGACTGAGACTGAGACTGGGACTGAGAGACTACTGCTGATTCATCTTCCAAAAGTGGTGAAAAGCGGTTCCTTGTAATTAAAGATTTTGGCTGTGGCATTATGACACTCTTGTTATCATTAGCTTTGCCTTGTTTGGGCTTGGCACCATATGTGTTCCAACAATTGTCTCTGTTGATTTTGGGAAATGAAATAGCGTCATCATAACTTACGTTCTGTCCATTTGGTCCATTTCCCTTCACTGGTATTGTTGTGTTCAGCCCCAATTCTGATTCAAGCACAAACATTCGGTCTTGAAGAAGTTTTAGCTCCTGTTTGAGTGAAAAACAGCCGTCGCAAAGTATTTTTTTTTTTTCCCGTCCTCCCGACATGCTGTAAGTTAGGTAAATTCCACAAGTCTTGTGTTGAAGTTTTTAAAAAGGAGTAATCCGTGTTTTGTGGAATAAAAATGTAAGCAAAAATGATTAAAGGAGATAAAAAAGCAGCAAGCGAGGAGCAGCAAGAGAATGCGACTGCTCTGTCCAGAGTATGTAGTAAAGGTTCAGTATATAAATGGGTAACTCAGTGCAGATGTTCAGAATTCTTTGTTCAGTTTTCATGTAGTTCCGGAGCCTAAGAGATTACAAAGCGAAGCAAGCAGCGGAGCGGCAGGGAAACGCGTCTACACACTCCAAGCAGGAAGTATAAGTAGGTAAATAGAAGACTATTTTAAATGTTACAATGTAACAAATGTTTCGTAGAACTTCAGTTAAAAACTATTTTATAATGAAGACGCAGGCACAGACGCTGTGAATGGATACAACAACAATACCCTCTCAAACCCATCCATCCATCCATCTTCTTCCCCTTAATCCATTTCTGAGTGAGGGGGTTGGCAGTCAGAGCTGCACCCAGTACACAGAGCACCAGTCCCTCACTGATCCTCCTGCAGGTGGTGAGTCCACAGGAGCCTGGATCTTCCAGCAGGGGCTTCAGGCAAAGTGGGGTTAAGTGTCTTGCCCAAGGACACAACAACAGCAGTCATCAGTGGTAGTTGTGAAGTAGGTCTCGTGGTGGGCTCGAACCCACAACCTCTAGGCCCAAAGGCCAATTAAATGCTCTACCAACTCAGCCACTGTCGCCCACACCCTCTCAAACAATAGCTCACAATTGTATTTGCTTTTGTAGGTGCTGCGTTCGGCAGCGGACTGGTCCGCTGGTATTAAGTATCACGAGGAGTCCATCCACAATGCCTACGTCCAGGTCATCGCCCAGAGCAAACACTACATCTACATCGAGGTAAGGAGCCGGATGTGGAACGATGAAAGGTCATGTTTACAATTCCCTCACTGCAGCTGTTTCCATTACAGCTGAAATCACCCACATATATATATATATATAATCTATGACACCCATGGATCATTATTGTATAATTATGAAATACAAGTGTTTCCTGTATTAACTTGCAAACAATGAGTAAGAGTTTCACGCTACAAGATATAATACATTTTACTGTTACTGCTCTCAAGGAAACACATGCAGTATAATGTATGTCATTAAAGACATGGTACACAAATTCTAATTAATGATAATATTTGGACCAATCTTGGTTTGTTCAGTCCAAAGATTTACTCTTTTTCTTCAGAAAATATTTACATTGATAAAGAATAAACAGATGCAAAAGATAAAGTAGAAAAAAAGAAGTGAGTAAAAGCTGAAAGAGGTTTTGACCCTGACCAAAATGACCAAAACATTGAGGGGAAAAAAAACTAAAGAAAATGTACCAACCCCTTGATGCTGATCATCAAAACAAAGTTCATAGAAGTTAGCTTTCATTTGTCCCAAAAGGCCGGGGTCTTGCTGCCCAATCACCTACAGTCACCTATGATGAGACAGAGTCTCTGTAATATATCATTTTGTGTCCCTTTTAGAACCAGTTTTTCATTTCTTGCGCTGAAAACAAAATAGTCCAGAACAAGATCGGGGACGCCATCATTCAGCGGATTCTCAGAGCCCACAGGTATACCTTTTCACATATTTTGCAGTTTTTTTATTGGTATTAGCAGGGTTTATTATTATTATTATTATTATTGTATAGAGAGGGGAAAAAGTACCGGGTCTACGTGGTGACGCCTCTGCTCCCTGGGTTTGAGGGCGACATCACGACCGGAGGAGGGAACGCCATCCAGGCTGTCATGCACTTCAACTACAGGTCACCATACGTTATATTTACACTAGATTAGAATTCATGAGAAGAAGCAGTAGAACCCAGTCAATTAACGTGTGCTTTTGATCCCTACAGGACCATGATAAGAGGGGAATACTCTATAATATCTCAGCTAAAAAGAGAAAGTAAGTTTGTAATATTGTAATTTTAGTTCAGTCCATTCTTTGTGGTTAAATATTCGACATGCGTGTTGTGTTTGTAAAGATGATTCATAGTATTTGTGATGCTTCAGGCTTCAGGCATCCCAAACATATATGCAAATGAATTCTCTCAACTAGATGCAAAACACTTCTTTCATTATAATTTTAGCACAGAGCATTTCTAAAGAACTGAACTGCTTAAAATGGAGCAATGTTTTTTTTGTCAACTTTTTTAAATATTGTGGGAAAATGGCCCAAAGCCCTAAAAGTAGTCAAGTTATCATGTGTTTTCAAATAGTAATGGAATTGACCAGATGCCTACAGTCTCCAAAAATTAATAACAAATATTTTGAAGTGGGCCGATAAAAATAAACCAATGGGATTTGTTCATCCCCAACGAACCAATGGGATGCGTTTACCCCCTTCACCTTCTTCCTGTTTCTCGCGAAATCCGATAACTCGCGCACTTGCAAGAGAGTTATCGGATTTTTTAAACCCTAAAAGGGCAAAAATTTCACTTTTTCCACCCACTCTCCTTGTTGTGACAAAGAAAATAAAATTCTGGATGTTTGGTTTGGTGGAGAGACGAGGGGAAGGGGAGTGGTTTCCAGTTGGTGCTACGGCTAAGCTAACAAACTGCACCTTTAAGAACGAAAGTGACAAATTGCATTACACAGAAACAGTGCAAATAAATATTTACATAACATTCATACAAATGAGTAATAAAAGGAAGTAGGGAGGAGAGGGGTGTATGTATGTGTAGGTCAGTTCTAACATTTCTCCACCGTCTGTTGTTATGGTCCGATAGTCACGACTGAAGGCCACATTCACCACTGCCACTGAAATGTATTAACACGATGTTATGTTTGTATTTGATAGAGAATTACAATTAACATACATCATTCATATCTAGTTTAACTAGAATGCCTTCTAGAAACAAAATGAAAATTCAGAATTTCACGTTATGAGAATTATTTAAAGGCACCCAAGGTAATATTTAAATGTTTATATTTTCAAACTTGCAATAATTAAAGCTGGGTTATGCAGCTTTTATTTTATTATCTGATAGTTTTGTAGTTAAAGTAAGTGAATGTTATGAACAAATCAGACTACAACATGCTGTCTTTATGTTATCTTGTGGGGAAGAGCCCCATGAGACATTTTAATGCTTTGGGCTGAGAGCTGATTGGCTGAGCAAGGGTGGTCCTCTCTTTTTCACATTTCTGTCTGAAAAAGATGATCTAAAGATTTAACAGAGGCTGAAAAATCATGCATATGAAAACTAGTTGGAGATGGACTGAATAATTGTGTTGTGTTTTTAAAGTTAGTTAACTTAACTTTAAATGTTGATGTAATATCTCTCCTCAGTGGACGACCACTGGATGAATTATATTTCCTTCGCTGGTCTGAGAACTCACGCTGAGCTGGAGGGACGCCTGGTCACGGAGCTCATCTACGTCCACAGCAAGATGCTCATTGCCGACGACAACACCGTCATCATCGGTCAGTGCGTCGGCTCGTTCTGTCTTTGATCCGGCTGTCACTCACACTCACTCACAACAAGAGCAGAAATAGAGTTTGTATCACTTTGTCATTTCATCACGCTGGCAGAGGACCAAATGTGAAGTGACAAAGTGTCTCAATTCAATGAGGAGTGCAGCTCTCATGCCCCCCCTGCTGGACACTGTGGATTGTTCTATCCCTGTGTTACTATACTTTGCTTTTCATAAAAAAATAGTTTGATTCAACAATATTTTTTACACACAATGTGGAAGTTAGAATGAGCATCAAATATATTCCTAGAAAAACCCAGACCTTTTTCTTGGAAACATGAAGGACAAGAATGAGTCTGGTTTGTGTTGATTTCAAACTTGCTTATTGGACTCCACAACACCCACACAATCAAACACAGGCTCAAGACACTCTGTGGAGGAGCTACATTGCCATCTAGTTCTGTATTTAGCATATTATCGCACAACACCTGCATTTAAAAGCCTGATTCGAACAGTGACCAGGGCGACAGTGGCTCTAAAGTCCCACCCTGTTATTGTGACTTCTGGTCAGACACTTCACCCACATTGCCTTGTATGAGTCTGGCGTGTGCGTGAAAGATGGTGGTGGTATCAGGAGACGATGCCTTAGCCCAGAAAAACTGTATGTAAAACAAATGAATCATTATCTAAGGCCTATATTTTCTACATTGTTTTTAAATGGACTTATTCTACATTCTGCGTAATGCAAAAGAGATGTTGACTATTATATTCACCACAAAAAAATGAATACGTAAATAAAAAATAAAGTTTTTTGCTGCACGATCACTACGATCACGCGCGGACACGTTTGACACACAACCTTTTCCTTGTGCAACCAGGCTCTGCAAACATCAACGACAGGAGCATGCTGGGAAAGCGTGACAGCGAGGTGGCGGTGATCGTGGAGGACTCGGAGAAGGTGTCCTCCGTGATGGATGGACAGAGTTATGAAGCTGGACCCTACGCACTGCAGCTGCGCCTGGAGTGCTTCAGGTAGCGCACACACTCGGCTTGAATGAAAACAATCCCGGTGATGGATGTGAAATTGTTTTTGTGGAAATAAAAGTCAGACGGATGTTATTAGCTCTTGCATTCATCAGACGAACTGTGTGTAGAGACCAGAGGGTGACTGCATTTGTCATTTGTGTGTCACTGTGGGAATGTTGGGTTAATATGAGGACACGGCTCGTCCTCAGGTGACCACTACAGAATCCACTACCTTTTTCTTTTCTCTTTCTTTTTTAAAATCTTCATTGGAAGCATTAAGAATGAAAGTGACAAAATGCATTATACAGAAACAATGCAAATCCATATTTACATGAAATTCATACAGAAAACGAATAAGTGGATTTAAGTTCTAATCAGATTGTGTGTGTGTGTGTGTGTGTGTGTGTGTCTGTGTTTGTGTGTGTGTGAGAGCGTGAGTTTGTAGGTCACTGTAATTGCTGGATATTATCACTGAAGTGTTAGAAAATGTTATTGTTGTTTGTAACAGTTGTAACAGTGTGAGGACAGTGTTTTGTTTTTTTTGTTAGTGTGTGTGTGTGATGTAGTTGTGATTCATAAAAAAACAGGGTTTACAGAATCCAGTATTAAAGCATCATGGCTGACCTTATGGTAAACAGAAAGTCCTGTGTTAATGTATACATTTGAAAAGGCTGTGATCATTTGTTTGATATTTCCTCCCGTAAATTTCTGCTAAATTGTAATGTCTGCTTGAGAAATGTATCCAGCTACTTTTATTTTACGTTTTTACAACAACCTGCTCAGGAACTATATGTGTCCCTGTAAAAATAAATATCATATCATTCCATAATCTACAAACACATTACTTAAAGGTGCAATAAGTGATTTTGTTAGCTTAGCCATAGCACCAACACAAAACCAATCCCCTCTCCACCAAACCAAACATCCAGCCTTTTTTTTTCAGGGAGAGTGGGTGGCAAACGTGAAATTGGCATTTTCTGTGCAGTCTTTTTAGGTTTCATAAAACCCGATAACTTAGGTGCGCACTCGCGAGAAACAGGTAGAGGGTGAAGGGGGTAAACACATCCAATTGGTTTGTTGAGAATGAATGAATCCCATTGGTTTATTTTTATCGTTCCGCTTCAAAATATTTTTTATTAAATTTGGAAACTATAGGCATGTGGTCAATTCTTTTACTATTTAAATACACATTTTTAGGGTTTAGGGACGTTTCCCCACAATATTGAAATAAAATGCGTCTGGAAAAAATCACTGACTGTATTGGGCATGAAGCTGCGTAAGGTCTTTTTGGTTTAGAGCACGTCGGTTCTGTCGGAATGTTTATTTTATATGTGATTTTCCAGAACAATCCTCGGAGGCCACACTGACAGCAGCATTGACCTGTCAGACCCCATCAGTGAGCGCTTCTACAAAGAAGTTTGGATGACTACCGCTGGACGCAACGCCACCATTTATGAGAAGGTGCGTCTTTCTGAGTGAATTCTTTTGAAATGTGTCAAATAGAAATGTTTGAACAAGTTTTAGTGAATTCATGAAGGAGGATTAAAAGTTGTATTTAATGACATTATTATCGTAGAGACATTATGTGGCTGGGAGAGCTCACCAAGACACCTGGTGTATGTTTAAAAGGAAATCATTGAAGTTAGTTGAAGGTAAAGCAAAGAATAAGACAAAAAACCAAAAAGGTCTGAGGAAAATAGCTTTCTTATTGCATGTGTTCAGAGGAGTCCTCGCCATTGAGATGTCAATGTTATGAGGCCTCCCTGATTTGACAATCAGTGAGGCCTGTTAATATATATATATATATATATTGTGTATATTGTCGTAGCGAGTAGCAGAATACTAATAAACTCCATAAAATCACATTTTTTCCAAATAGAGTTCTAGTACCTGAGTATTGTATTCTGAATGCTTTGAACACATTCACATTGATTTTCATTCTATTATTGTGTGAAAAGTCATTTTTTGTTCAGTAACTGATTTCTGAAAATAATACAGTTCAATTAGTATTTTGAATATGCATTCTTGTTATGTATTAAGTTCTCGCCCAACACCTTTCAGTCCACTATTGTTTCGACCAATGTTCCTGCCTCCTGTGTTTCAGTATAAACTTTTTAGCGATGCTAACATTGTACATCTTGTCCAGGTGTTCCGATGTCTTCCCTCGTCTCTGGTGCGTAACATGGTCGAGCTGGAGCAGTACCAGACCAAACAGGGACTGGCTCAGACCGACGTGACCAAAGCCCGAGACGAACTCAGGAAAATCCGGGGTTTCCTGGTCCAGTTTCCTTTGGACTTCTTGTCTGAACAAAACCTCATGCCTTCTGTGGGAACCAAAGAGGCCATGGTTCCAACTGAGATCTGGACATAGAGAAAAATAACTCTAACTGTGGCAAAATGTTCAACTTAAAAAGACGCTTGGACGCCTATAAATGAACTTCTTTGCTCCTCTATATCTGAAGAATGGACGTGCATGGGCAAAGAAAACACCCAAGAGATGCATGTATTTAATTGGAATCCTATTTCGGACTACGGATTACACATCTTTCAAGGGACCATAATGTGGAGTCGAAGAAAATGCATGTAATTTGTTCAAGTCCAGTTTAGTGTTTTTTTAAAAGGGTCACGATTGTCAGTTATGAAGCATGCACCAGTCACAGAAGCCCTGGCTGTTGTTTCAATCCAACATTTCATCACAATTTATTCTATTACATACGTTTTATTTCAATGTCAAAGGCCTGATGACTTAACAGCTGCTCTGTGTAATCTGTAATATGCGCTTTTGACCAGCAGAGGGCGCGCATTCTCTATAAACTGCAACAATCACGTGTTTTCTACAGTTGTACAGTTGTATTCAATATGATCGTGCCTTTCTCCGAGTATAAAATGCTGTCAGACAAGCTTTTTTTTTTACACATCACTTCACTTTCCATTGCCATATGCCTTGTATTCACCAACTCTATGCTTGCGTTTGTTGATAGTGAGTTGTTCTTGAAGGAATTATGTGTAAAAAAAAAGAAGTAATCTTTGTCAGGAGGTGTGTTTTTTAACGTATAAATGCAACTTACAAGGCAAATAATTTATGTACAATTGTGAGATAGTATTTTTATCTGTAACTCCAATAATGTGAAATTAAATGACCACTTATTCAACGCATGTATATTTTCCTGTACACTTTTCAGACATATTTGACACAAGCTTTTCATTAACTATATTACGCACCTTTTAACATAATCTAATCTTTTTCAACATGTTCTCAGTGTGTCCAACTGACTATATTTTTGTTTGCACCTGACCAAACAAGTTTTAATCAAACCTCTATTGTAATGCACCATTCCTACTTCCAAAGAAATCTACTCTCAATCCATAACAAAGTAGTCTACTTCCTCTGAAGCCATTTAATTGGATTTCTATGTAATTCCTACAGAACACGTTTGATTGGAGGATTAGATTTCAGGTGCAAGATGAGACAAGCTGATGCTGCGGGTGAGGAATTTAGAAGGAAAGACACGTACTAATGTAAACTTTCAAACTTTCACTTTCAAAAATAATGACTTGACAATACTGGGTAAATGTGGAATTTGTGGTGATTTGTTTTTGCTGTAACATGTTTGAGAAATTAGTTGCAGACTTAGATGGACAGTCCAGCTTCATCAACAGAAATGAGCCTAAGTGATGGCAACAGCAGGAACACATGAAGATCCAGCCAGTTCATACTCATTCATAGGTTAAGACAAGATTTCTGTCCAATATATGGAAAATGCAGCCAACATGCAGTGGAGACTATTAAAAAAGGCCAAACCAAATTATTTGATAAAACTATTCCCCAGAACTAGTTTGACAATGTGCTCTTTCTTCTTCTACTTCATTTTTATTTATTTTTTTCAGTAGAAATACACTAAAATATAAACGTAATGTTCACTACTAGAAACATAACATAACACAATAGAAAATCTTACTTTAGGTTGAATTTGTAGCTGTATAATATTAAGGCAAGTTCACAGAATATTTTGAAGGGTATCTAATAAACCGTAATCCAACTATACAACTATCATCCAACTATTCTCTCTCTAGTTTTCGCAATCATGAATTTTTGGATCACATCTCTAGATCAGCTGTGAGGCAGAACGTTGAAAACAAGACCACCAATCAGCTCTCAGCCTAAAGTGTCTTCTCATAAAATACAGACAGTATGTTGTAGTGTAGAATTAATATTCTTTCACAAGACTTTCTGTTGGGACATACAAAAAGTTAGATACCCCAGCTTTAACAACGTGAAGATTGTCATGTTCAATGTTATAATCAATAGTTTGATCATTCCCGACGTCTGAGTCCAATTTTCCACTTTCAGCAGAATCTCAAAACATGTCCCAAACACATTTCCTCCTTCCAATCATGCATGGTTATCACAACCCACGCAACGCCTCGCTCCGGTACGCGCTCCAGTCAAGCCAAGCCCCTCCCCTGGGGTCGTGTCCAGCCTATCCCCACCTCTCTGTGATTGTTTCCCAGTGTGTGTCACAGTCAGCGGCACCAGTGTCTCCCCCTCTGCCTGCCGTGCTCACACTCACTCCGGATACACCAACCCTCCAACCACCGCTGCTACCTCTCCAGCCATGGATCAAGAGGGACGCGCTCATCTGGTCCCCATGCGCCCTCTCATCAGCTAAAGTCGGGCTACTATAGGCGCAGATACAGTACAGCTACACAAGCATAGTTTTTTTTCTGTTCTTTAGATTATTTTTTTTCAATAGAAGCGGAGTGACAGCCAGGAGCAGCGCGATCGGGGGGGACGCGCATCCAGACGCAGCAGCAGCAGCAGCAGCAGCAGCAGTAGTAGTAGTAGTAACCCAAAGCCACTCCAGGATTTCCGTGGGCTTTGGTGTGTATACCCTCCATCATGGCGAGTGACTCTCCAGCTCTCAGACAGGTTGAAATGGACCTAAAGGACTTAAGAGTAAGTCCTTCACGCATCTTTTATCCCTAACACAATTTATCTTCCTGTAGCTCTTTCTTTTCCCCTTTTTTGCACCTGCGCTCTCCCAGTAGCTGCAACAACCCAAGTAAATGTGTCTAATGATATATAGAGTGAATTGACAGGTGCCCATGCTACACTTATACCCTATTATTGGTCAATAGTAACAGGAACCTTGAATATGCTGACCTGAATACAAGGCATGGTGTATTTAGAATGGGTCAGCCCTTGGAGTCATTCAACATTGAGGCTGTTTGATGATTTTACATTGACTTTTTTCATTTTTAGCTTCAACATTTTGAATGAAAAGCTTGCATTCCTCTCTTCTGCAATGCCCACGTCCTTTTGTTCAGCCTGTGTTGCTGCAAGGTAGACAGAACACTCAGACAGCCAGATGAAACCACCACTATTTTCGCATCACCGGGCACAATGCAATGTGGAGAGTGCCTATGTGTGTGGGTGGCTTGACAGTCTGGAAGTAAAAAAAAAAAAATGCTGCTCTATATACATGAAGAAGTATTTGTTGCAATTGAGAAAGATGAGAAAACATGTTGTAATTGTGAGCTTCCTCATTCTCAGTGAATATACTGTATCTTTTTCCCCTTTTGTCCCTCTTATACCTTCATGCTTTGCAGTCCTTTCCAGCCACATTGCATCACTTGATTCTTCTTCTTCATTTTCAATCCCACTTTCTTGTCTGGCCCATCTGTCTGTACCTGCCACGCTGAATCTTATCCGTATCTCAGACAGCCTCGCCTCCTACATCAGTGGAGAAGCTGCGATTTTTGTATTATTTTTTTTTTACAGGGAACAAGTTGTTGACATGAAATGCTGCTTTCCAGTTCGCACATGAGCTGCAAATTGAGTTATACGTGGAGAATTTAAAGGAATGGGAAAGGGCTAGAAGTGATCACAAGGTAGATTTGGTGTCGCAAACATTTTTCCCTGGTGGTGTATTCTTCACATGGCTTTTTTTTTTTCTTGAATTGAGAGTGGAATGGGCAATTCTGAAGAGGTGTTTTCAGTGTGATATATTGCACAGCTAAATAGGTCAATACAATAGACAATGTATGATACTTTTTTCTACTTTCCATTAAATCTACCCAATGGCAAGGCAAGGCAAGTTTGTAAGGTAACACCAGATGCAACACAAGAAAGGAAACATTAACATGTCTATCATTAGAATAAAATTAAAAAGACATTGCAATTCTACATAATCGCAATATATTACTAAGAGTGAAGATACAATCCGTGAGCTAAAAAGCAACTGATTTCAACCTGGATTTGTACATTGTCAGAGTAGAAGCCTGTCTTACATTTAAAGGAAGACTGATCCAGCTTTTAGAAGTATAGATAACATTCAATATCTGATACAGCTAGAAATAACAGATTAGAATGAACCTGCTTTATAAATGTTGACAAAAAAGCTGCACATTCAATCTTATGGCCAGTTCAAATCATATGTGCGGAGAATGTTTTTTTCTCCTATGAACTTGTGAAAGCATGATTAGGTTTGAGCCATAAAAATGATTACACCAAATTAGTTTTGTGGCTTAAGAGTTGGCCATGTCACTTACTTTTCACATTATGCATACATTTTCATCTCCAAGAAGATTTAGTGTCTTACAAAATGAAAAAAATGCATAAAACGAAACGACATTGTTCTAGTGTACTGCTTCTGCTTCTGCTGTGATTTTATCTAGTCATAAATGCATGCACTATTGTTCTCCAGACTGCACTTTAATAACTCTATTAAAGGTGTGGAGTGATTATAGTTGGGTGTTATTTCCCTGTCTCTAATAACTAGTTTCCAACGACATACTTCCAACCGTCTCAAACCGCCTGGACTTCCACAGAATGTTACATAAGGACCTCAGGTAAACACGGAGGTGGCGGTGGCTGTGTTTGGGTGCTCGGCTCTGGTCACCTGCACGTTCTGTCTGGGAGACGTGTTCAGTCAAACCGCTGGCCGCCGCACCGCACAGGAAGTAGGTCAGCTGGCTGTGACGAGCAGCTCGTGGGGGAGGGGAGAGGGGGATCATACCGGAGTTAGTGGCTGTATCATTGGGAGATACGAGCATATTTTCTTCAGCTTTGAGCTTTATGGGCAAAGAGTCTGAGTCAATATTTTGCTACAGATCTCTATATTTTTGGATTACGCTCTATATCAGGCATGTCAAACTCAGGCCCGTGGGCCAAATCCAGCCCGCAAGACAATTTTTAGTGACCCCTAAAATGATAACTTGCAGCATAGATGGTCATGGGCTACCAAGGCATGTTATTTTAGATTAGATTAGATTAGATTCCACTTTATTGTCATCACAATGTCATAACAACGCGACAAAATGCAGTTTAGCATCTAACCAGTCATGCAATAGCGCAAGTATAGGATAATATTTTCAACACAGATAAATATATTTGCATATACAGTATGTGAGACTGTACAAGCTGCTATGCTAGTGTATACATTAATTATACTGTATATGATATTACGTTAAAGTGCATCTAATGGGCTTAACCCAACAAATCAATAGAAGTGAAAAAGTTAAATAAAGAACAATGTGGATGACTTTATATTTGGTCCATTTTTGGTTGAATCTAGTCTGACGAAGGGCCTCAGCCCGAAACGTTACTATTTTGTGTGGTATGTAAATAAATTACACTGTTTTTGGGAGCTACATAGCTGTGCGGATTATTTTTCACTGTTTTCTGAATCTAAACAATAATCACAAGTTGAATGTTTTCAGAAAATTCAAGCAGAAAAGAATAGTGAAAGTCATATCACATAAAAGTCATGTCAAAATACCTTCATAATTAAAAAAACAAACAATTTTAAGATAAGGAAATCCCTTTCGGCCCAACCACTTCTTATTGTTTATATTCGGCCCCTGATCAAAATGAGTTTGACACCTCTGCTCTATATAAATTGGGTTATTGCATAAAATGACTATAAGAGCACTTATAGCTAACTCTGATGGGGTCTGCTGCCTGGTTGTTACCCTAGTAATGTTTTGACTGGCTTGGACTGTATCTCACTGTATGTAAAACTTGTCCACGAATTACACATTTTAGAAATAATCTGAATTCTTACATTGTGTCATGTTGCCACTGCTCAGATGTGGTCCATAACATGGACAAGTGAAATCAGTCACGTGTCTCCAATGCAGATGGCAACGCTGAATACCATACTGCTCTCTAAATTCCATGCAACAAAACTAATTCAAGCTTGGTTTTGCTTTTTATGGGTCTGTTTAATGTGAAATGTTTGCAGAAAAAGCCAAAACTCTGAGATGTAATTTTACAAGTCCGCCATGTACTTTGAAGAAACATTAACTTGGAAAATATGGTTTATGTGAAAAGAATTACATTATTTCTTCTGCATCAACATTTAGACAGACACAATCAAAAAGCAGACCCTCCACTGTGAAGTTACTCATGTCAAAGAGTTAATGATTATTAGTAAGTAATGTTTATTTATATAGCGCGATTTTACTGACCAAGGTCGCCCAAAGCGCTTTACGATGTTCAGAGTTCAGATATTGTTCCAATCATTCCACACCCAGTAATGACGGAAGCAAGACACCAAACACACTGGCGCATCAAAGCCCCAATCAACACCATCCATTCACTCACTCATTACTTTCATACCTATTGTGCAGGTTTTTAGTGGTCGGGGAAACCGGAGTACCTGGAGGAAACCTACTCAGACACGGGGATAACATGCAAACTTCACTCAGAAAGGCCCTGTTTCGACCGGGATTCCAACCCAGGACCTTCTTGCTGAGAAGCGAGAGTTCTATCCACTCAGCCACCCAATTGATGGGCTAATTATTGAAAGTAATCAGTTGCGACAAATATAGTAATTGTTGACACCCACGCAGAAGCAAGTAATAATAATAAAAACATGGCACAGTGGATGAAAGGGAAGTACTCTTGGTCCACAGCAAGAATGTTGTGTCTTTCAGTGTGGACTCTTACATGTTTCTGGGCGGGTTTCCTCCAGGTGCTCCGGTTTCCCCCACCACTCAAAACATGCTCCATAGATTAAAACCCTCCAGCTCCTATTGTCCTGACTAAGCCAAGCATAAACATCTGGAGGTGGGTCTGTGGGTGCTGCACTATAGCCACCACTGCCCAAGTGGCATTGAATGATGGGGCAAATGCTGGCCCATTTCCCTATGGGGACAATAACAGTAATGAAGATGGATGTGGGAGAAAAACTTGGACTGTAAATGTGATTGGAGTTAAATTTCACAGATCTAACTTGACAATATAAAAGAACAAGATATGAGAAATGCCATAGTGGGGGTATTCCCGGTCCACAAAGAGACACTGGAAATCTAACAACAATACACTACAGTTGAAATTACCACACTGAGGGACAGATCAAGACTTATCTTACCATAATCTTATCTTATTTCAATAATCGCCAATAGTGCAACAAAAATAACAACATTTAACCATTCATAGCGTCTTACAAACAGCTTTTGTATCTATGCAGTAGGTCAACTTGGAGACAGAAATCAGTCGTTTCTTGCATTCGACAATACACTTCATTGCATTTGTAATGAACGACAATTATCAACAGTCCACTGCAGCTGTGTTTGGCCTATATAGTGGTGTTTACAGAGAGATCTATGACACAAATGCACAAAGGGACGGCAGCACAGAGGAGGAAGTGAAGAGAAGTGGTTTTCCGTGTTTGCTGTCTCAACACTTTTTCCTCTGTCTGTCTGTGGCTTTGTGCGACATCGGCTGGTGTCATGCATCAGCCCTGCAGCCTCTGTACGTGCGAGCAATGCTTCAGTCCAACACAAAGGCCAACGTTTGGGATATTATTCATGATGTGACTGTGGTTTTCTTGTCTGCACTGCTTTGTCAATGCTCCTCTTTGATGCGTGTGGATAGTAATGGTCTTAGTCACTGCTGCACTGCATTTGGAGAAGTCACAAACAGAGACCAGACAATGGCTATATGTGATA